TTAAAAAAAATACAGAAAAATTACAGGTGCCTGTGGTGAGTAAGATAATAACTAGGTAAAAATATATGAAATAATTACAGTGTTTGAACGGCAGAACCGGCATGAGGAAAATGACTCAATGGAATATTAAGCCTGCTGTTGCAGGGTAGAAAGACTGTAGCCTGCACTGTGGCCTTCACTCTGTTCTCAGCCCTGATACAATGCTGCACACAGATCCGATCTGGCCTCAGCTGAAGGAACTGGTCCAGTTCAATGAAGACCATCACTCTGAATGCTTGGACTGTAGATGACAAACCAGTGATCAAAGGGTCTATAAAAGATGTACCAGATGCTTTGGTATTTGTGTAGACTTACTTTCCATTTGACACTGAATTCTTTCTGAGAATATTTAGGATGAATCTATGATCTGTATTTGACAACTTGACAAAATACAACTATTTCAGGCAATTTCAATAGACGTCTAAAAGAGATATGATTTTTTTTTTTTTTTTTTTGGTGGTGCTGGGGATCAAAACCAGGGCCTTGTGCATGCAAGGCAAGCACTCTACTAACTGAGCTATATCCCCAGCCCTGCTAGGATATTTTTGAAGATTTTCTTTTGATCTTCTATATGTTCTAAAAGCCCAGTGAGATTGTCATGGGGTAAATAGAAGCTCCAGTACCTCGTTGTAACCATTTCAGACAGAATCAATTACATACAAAGTCTTCTCCATGTCCCCTAAGAAATTGACCCAACAGATAGTTCAGGAAGAAAACATAAGTGACCTGCAGAGGGGCAGAAGCCTGGAGCATGTGCTGGGATCCAGCTCTAAAAACAGCATCACCCTACTGTCAGTTTAGTAAATAAACATCTGTGAGGAGAAAGGCAAGACTTTGTTCTATAAATCAGGGGTTTTGGGTTTTTTTGTTTTTTTGTTTTTTTTCTTGTTGTTTTGCCTTTTATTTCCCCAAAGGCAAAATACTTAACTTTCAGGAGAAAATAGAGAAGGCCTCTCCTGGTCTTTCTGACTTTGGTTAGTCCTACCTCCCCGGAGACTGTAGGAAGACAGGGTCACTCAGCCCTGGCTTAGGTACTCCAAACTCTGAGTCAGTGCTACAAAACTTGAACTTCAGAGAAGGAAAGGGAGGAATGAAGAAGGAAGGGAAGGAGGGAAAGATGAAGGGAGGAAATGTCTTGGAATTTTTGCTCCCCAAATGTAATTTATTCTTAGTAATTTTGTGAACCCAACCACTAATCTCTAGGCACTATTGCCACTGTGTGGAATCTGTAAAGACCTACTGTTTGCTCACTGGCAACTTTGGGCAGATCTCCTCTCTCTGAACCTCAGTTTCCTCATCTGTAAATATTTCCTCTTTAGGCTTATAGAGAGCCTCATATGATAATTTGAGCATCTTGAAGGTATTTTGTGAACCATAAAACTCTACACACATTAGAAGCATTATCATATTAATCTGTCCAGCTCTGCATTCTGTCTTTTGTTGTGGACAACCAATTTCTACATCAGAAGACAAGAAAATCTTTGTTCTGACCCACAGAGATGATTGCAGATGTAATTATCCTGTCCTGTGACCCTAGAGATTAGTCACAAGTGTGCTACTGAAGTATTTGCATTGCTTCCTTAAGTTCAAGTCAAGAAAAACTAGAAAAAAAAAATCTGGATTATAAGAATTATATTTACTTGATGCCAATTTGATGTTTCAAACTATTTCAGTCTCATACAACTAGGAAACATTTCCTCCCTCCCTCGATCCCTCCCTCCATCTCTTCCTCTCTCTCTCTCACACACTCTCTCTCTCTCTGACACACACATTTAACACATCATCAGTGTATGTCAGAGCTGTGCCATCATATCACTAGCACCCAGCACCATGCCTTACTCAAAGTACTCTCTTAATTATTAATTGGTAAATCAATTTGAATGATTTCTTTGCCCAAGTACCTTTAAAACATTTGAGCATATTTTCTTTGAGAAGTGTATTAATTTACTTGAAAATACATTTACCTTTTAAAAACCACATCCACATGTTAATTGTCCTGTCTTGATGTTATTCTGCTAAATTTAGGCTAAGGCTCCTACTCTAAATACCAGCTTAGTGAAAGCTTCTATTCCTTCTATATGATATTGCCATCCTTGAGTGATTCAGAATGTACTCATGCCTCAGGGCAGTGAAATATTTTTAAGATTCTAGTTTGTAGAATAACTTAAGGCACAGTGAGACTTTCTTTTAAAATTGATGTGACGATCAAAAGTTATATTTGTGGGCTGGGGTTGTGGCTCAGTGGTAGAGAACTTGCCTAGCATGCGTGAGTCATTGGGTTCGATCTTCAGCACCACATAAAAATAAAATAAAGTTATTGTGTCCATCTACAACTAAAAAAAAGATTTTAAAAAAGTTATATTTGTACATTTTCCACAGTACAAGGTGATCAGAAAGATGTCTTTCATAGACATTATTGTTTAGATCTAGAAAAGAGGATAGAGAGAAGAAATCCAGCCTGAGTGATCAGGGTAAAGAGTATGGATGTGACCCAAAGTGGCATTAGGATATTCTAGAAAACTGACTTTGGGAGTGAACTTGGCCTAGTACAGTCTTTGAAACATTCGATTCAGAGTTCAGAATCTTCACTGCCTCATACTTAGTGAGTTTGGCCCCTGCCCCCATCTTAACCATTCCTACTTTCTCCTATGGACTCCCATGGTATGGAAATGTAAAAGTCAGTACCTGCCAAGGCTTGATACAAATCCAGGTTTCCACATGTCTTAGTCCATTCTCTTTTATTACACTAGGATGCCAGAGACAAGGTAATTTATCAAGAAGTTGATGTAGCTTACAGTTTTGGAGGCTGGAAATCCACATCTGTGTGGCTTTTGATGAGGGTTTTATGCTGTTCCATGTACATAGAAGCAGAAGGGCAAGCAAGCATGCAAAGAGGGGTGAACAAAGGAGCCGACCCATTTTATAACAACCCCCTCTAGCAAGAACTAATCTGTTCCCAAGAGAACTAATCCAGTCTCTCAAGAAAGACATTAATCCCTCTCAAAGGCCCCATCTCCTGACAGTTCCGCATTGAGCAATTTAATCTCAATGGAGTTTTGGTGAGGAAAAAACCATATGCTAACCAAGCACCCAAAAACACTGTTACCATAAAATTGAACAAAAGAGAGCATACTTTCACTTTGTTAGCAGTACTTGATTCTCTTTAGATCCACATTGCTTTAATGTTGTTGAATGTGATAGCTGAGAAAGAAGTTAAAAATTATTTCTTTTCACCTCCTCATTCCACAGGTGAGTACATGCAGGTCTACAGCTGCTAAGTGACTCACTCAAAACTCATTTAGCTAGATGATGACATCAAAGGAACTTAAAGCCTGATCCTCCAACTCTTGGGTGAACCAGTACCTAGATTTCAGTCAGTCAGGTATTACTGAGCTGGCATCCACTGTGTCCCTGACAGTGCTGCTTCCTGCCACAGAAAATGACCATGAAATGGGCCCAGCATTGCAGCTCTTTGGAAAGAAAATCCAACTTATGAATGTATACCAAAGGGTTAATCAGAAAAGAAATAATTTTCACATAAAGTGATCTTTCTTTTTTTTTTATTGTAAGCTCAGAGAGAATTGTAGCACTACAGGTTGAGCAATTTTCTTTTTTATGAATCTCTTGCTCAATTTATGAAAGCCATTTTGCAACCCATTTACATGCAGTAAACCTTTGCTTTAAGGTTCTGTCATTTACCTTGAGCATGATTATTTATAGTCTTTTTGGAAAAGGTCCTTTACTCGTTTTGCTCACAAGCACAGCGCTGCCACAAGGCAGTTTTCGATGGTGCCTTTTAAGTCATGGTAGTGAGCTAAGACATGGCCAGTCTTGCAGTGAGCTATGAGGCTCAGGACTGGTATGTGATGGGAACAGAACTAGCTGGAATCAGAAGTATTGCACTTTCTCTATATAATCTCAGCATTTTATGCTCCTTTTGTTACTGTTTGCTCACTTGTGGAAAGCAAATGACTCCATCTCTAGACTGGGAAATAGAGATTAACTGATGTACCTTGTGTGAAACTTGCAGTGCAAGTTAAAAATACTAAGTTTTGTTTTTGTTTTTTTATGAACCAGTTGTCTATAATACAAACTATTATGATCACTGAAAAAGAAAGGGTATCCTATCTAAAATATTTCTTGATGGCCTACTATAATTCATACAAGAATTTCAACCAAGAGCAGGGCCCTTTACTCTGGGCACAGAGTGGGCACTCAACCCAGTATTTCTTCTGTTAATGGATAAATACAATTTCTAGATGAAATTTTCACTGTGCTAGGCACAGTATAGAATACCAGACAAATAATATGTCATCCAAGTTAGAAGGGGTTTATAATTAAGATGGCTAGCCAAAAATGCCCAAATTGACAATGAAGCAGGTTGTGATTCTAGACAAGAGGAGAAGGTCTGGTGTAGTGTCTGTAGTCCCCACCAGATGCCACTTCAGCATCTTCCTAATGCAGGTAAGCTGACCAGCCTCCAGCCTTGCTTGCCCACCATGATGTCTCTATCAGCTAGACTCCCAGCAGGTTAGACACCCACGTGGAAGAGTTTAAGTGCAGTGTCATAAGGTATTATAGTGATGTGGGCAGGATTATAGAAACCATCAAGAGGTGGCCAGGTACCCCGAGACAATCAACAGCAGGTGACATTACCACCCAGGAGGAGAAGGGCAAGGCAGAGGACAGGCAGAGAATAAGAGCTACAGCTAGACACAACTAGAATACAGAGGACACATAAGTCCATGTGAAGCCCCATTCCTTGGGCCATTATCAGGTCCAAAGACAGCAGGAGCGAACCAGGGTTCGTGTGCATGTGGTGCAGGCACTTCATGTGGGCTGTCTCTTGAGGGCCTACAGGAGGAATTCAGTCTAAAGTTGGCATCTGTCCCTCCGCTGTTGCAAGCAGCCCAGTGGAATGAGGGTGAAATGGCTAAATGTCTTCCTTGACCCCTCAGCACTTACCATGCACAGCCTTCTCAAGGTACAGAACAGGAGAGAATGGATTACGCCCTCAACAACAAGAGACGAGTCATCCGCCTGGTTCTACAGTGGGCCGCCATGTATGGAGACCTCCTGCAAGAGGATGACGTGGCCATGGCTTTCCTGGAGGTATGCAGGCTTATTCCTTCCAAGAGCACACCTTTGTCCTGTAGTACAGGAACTTACCAGTAGCATGGCATCCTCCCCCCAGGGGACTGTAATTGCCAGTTCTAGACTTTGTTAACATGTCCATTTGTCAGAAAGGTACTGTAAATAAAAGAAAAGCATCCACATTATGCCACCACTCTAATTCAATAAGTAGTGACTTTTTAATGTAGTTTCATCTGGTCTCTTTCTCTTTGTGTATTTCGTAGGGTTGTAATCACATCAGTACCCATCATTTTGCAGGCTGCTTTTTATTCTACACATCAGAATTTTTCCATGTCAACACATTCTTTATGATTAAAAACTTCTAATGACCATTCATCAGCTATGCCACAGATATATTTATTTGTACCCCGTATTGTTGAATATTTATGGCCTTTCCAGTTTTCATCTTCCTAGAATCATTGTGCAACGAACGTTTTTGTGCTAGTAGGTCTGTCCGTGGTTGCTTATGTTCCTAGAAGTAGGATTACTAGATCCAATGGTAGATGTTTTTGAGTGAAGTAGACATTTTTACTAAGGAATTACTAGCACAGGAAGTGGGAGGCAATACAGTATTTCTGATGGCGTGTGTTTACTTTGTGAACACTGCTCAGGCTCAGCTGCCCTTTTCCTTTCTTTGGTTCTTTCCCCACAGTACAGCACTGGCCTAGGCATTGAGTCCTGGACTACTGTAGTCCTCCCACCCATGAGGACGTGACCCAAGACCCCCAGTGGAGACCTGAAATCAGATAGTACTGAACCCTATTTCTTTTTGTTGTTGTTGTTCTAATTAGTTAGTTATATATAACAGTAGAAACCCTATTTCTACTATTTTATTTCCTATACATATATACATATGAGAAAGTTTTCATAGATTGTGCACAATTAAAGATGAACAACAATAATAGAATAATTATTATAATAAAAATTATTTAAAATTTATGAATTGTTTTTTTCTGGAATTTTCCATTTATATTTCCAGACTGCAATTGACAACAGGTAATGGAAAGCAAGTCCATGAATGGGGTAGGGGGATAACTGTACTCTCTCCTCCAAAACTTATCAAGGCTCTTACTTCTATGTAGGTGAAAGACAGTGTGGCTTCTTTCAAAACTTTATGGCCTATGTGTTCTAAAATGAATTCTCCAAGAAAAACATGCTCCCTCTCTCTTCTTAAATTCTGTCATTGCGGGGGAAAATGTACGATGAAAGTCCCTCCAGGCTGTGGATATAGTATTTTGAAAACATAAGGAATGGAGTGGACCATCCCTGCGGAGTACAGGGCCGCCTTGCCGGTGAAACATGGCGGTAGTGACCCTGTATTGTGTGATTCTCTCATGATCTACTGTGAAGACCACCACTCCTGGGCAGGGCAGGGCACAGCTGGGGCTGCTAGGTGATCAGCTAAGTTCCCAAGAAGTCAGCAGAGTCCCAAGTTGGTGGCACAAACTCAGCATAAACTCAGTACAGTGCTGAGGCCATGCCTGAGTTTACCACCAACAATTAATCACATGGGTGGTAAATGTTAAATAAACAACAAATACTAGGATAACATTGAAAATGAGTAATAAAATTTCCCTGAAAAAATTTGAGAGGAAAAAGTGTAGACACTAAAATTGTCTAACACACTACATTGTATTACATCAGCGTTATATAAATAATTCTTTTGAATTATTTTTTAATTTTTATTTTTATTGTAGTAAAATATACTATAAAATTTGCCCTTCTAATCATTTTGAGGTATATAATTCAATTCATTCCATTTTGTGCAGTCATCACTGCTATTTCCAAACTTTTTATCATTTGCAATTTTGAACTTGAACTTATTGTAGTGTTTTTTGTTTGTTTGTTTTTCCTTTTTCTCTCCAGTTCATGAAACCATCATAGTCTGGTGATGCTAGTGAGGCAGACGACATAGGGACATGTCTTAATTGCTCTCTACAGAAGTGTGCCCCTTTTGCAGTTCTTGTTAAAAGCCTGTGACCTTTGCCAATTACAGGAGTTTTATGTGTCTGTATCAGATGATGCCCGGATGATCGCTGCCCTCAAGGAGCAACTCCCGGAGTTGGAGAAGATTGTCAAGCAAATGTAAGGAAGGGCTTGGCTTTGGGGGTGTGCTCTATCAAGTAAGTGCCTGCCTTGCAATCAGAATACCTTCTGAAAAGTCCTTTGCCTGCAGAAAGGTTAAAGATGGTCTTGTAAGAGACCTAGTGTTGTGATTTGAGCAGAGGAGCCCAGGGCCAAGTAGCAATAAGGCCAGATGAACACAAAGACTGAAACTATGGTCAGCTGCCTTCTATGCCAGAGCGCTGCCACGAAGAAGCCTGAGAGGGAAGAGATCCTCATATGGATAGTCCAGGTCAATAAATGTGGGTCCCTGCAATAAAATGGTCAGTTGCATTTTAAGAAAGCTTGAGAACAATTACTTAGATGGAAAATTCACTTTCTGCTGCCAGAGCTATTGATGGCAAATATTTGTGTACAGAAGGTTTTCACACGCTGTTACTTTAATTAAATATTGGAGAATGCTCTCCAAGATAGACTTTGAAAGCTAGAAATCCTGGTGTCTGAAAATCAGTTCTGCCCAGGATCTGCCTGTGATGAGAACTAGTATCTTTGACAGCAAAGATAGTGTTAAAATGAGGGAGACCCATGTTGCCTCCCAAAGGGATTCTATGATATTATTTTCTAAATATATAAAAGGTTATATAAAAGTAAAGCCATCTGGGGCTGGGGCTGTGGCTCAGTGGTAGAGTGCTTGCCTAGCACATGTGAGGCACTAGGTTCAATCCTCAGCACCACATATGAATAAATAAAATAAATGTATTGTGACCATCTACAACCAAAAGTATTTTTTTAAAGTAAAGCAATCTAAAATAATAGTAATGTATTAAATAATGTGCTTTTTCTACTTCTCGTAGTTCAGAAGATGCAAAGGCTCCACAAAAGAAGGTAAGATGCATCAGTTCAGATTCTCTCATTTTCTATTCCCTGTAGAATAACAAACCCCCGTTATATGACAGTATATAAAGTGATATATTTTTTATAAATAAAAACTATATTTGCTTCATTCCTTAACTCCTATTGTTTCTCAGATGCCTTTCTTCTGAGTTGCTAGCGTGGGCTGGTCAGTCCCCCTGATGGCACTCCCTGTGGTTATTGTTTTTATAGCACAAGGTTCTTTTGCAACAATTCAACACAAGCGATGAGAGGGCCCAGAAGCGCCAGCCTGTCCGTGGCTCTGATGAGGGTGAGAATTCTCTTCCAACTCCTGCTTGTGTAGGCTATTTATTATGCCCCTGGAATCATCTCCTTGAACCCACAGAAAAACTCTTCTTGAAGGTGCCCTTGTGCAGGCCAATTATTTATGTTCTTGAAGTCCTGTGCCAAGTGCTAAGGTGCTTGTCTGTACTTCCCTGACTCTGAGTGTCCCCAGTTGCCACCTTCATGTGAAAGAAATGGAGATTATCTTAGGGCTGAGATGTCATGCAGCCTCTGGGACTAGCAGGTAGGAAGGCACCTGGCCTATTGCAGATGCCTGGGAAAAGTTGTAACACCAGGGCTATCAGCAGAGGAGGGCTCCTTCCCAGGGAGAGCACTCAGGCCTGGAACCCAACCTCCTTACCAGGAGGTGAGGGTGCTAACTTTGTTGTTTGGTTGCCAAGATTTCTCCAAAGAATCACAACCATAAATAATTATAATAATAAAATTTTCAAGTCACCAATGAATCTTATAATCTATGAGTGCCTCAAAAGGGTGATAGGAGCTGGAGTTGCTTCCAGGATTTTTGTGTTCAGAGGTGAGCCCATGAGTGCCATATGCCTTCTACTGTGCTAACTACCAACTGAGCTGTGTGGCCTGGCCCCCAAACAGCAACCCACTGAAGCAAAAAAGCAGAATATCAACATATGCTAATGGCCTTAGGCAGAAGCAGTCCAGCTCAAGAGTGTTGGCTCCCCCAGCCATGCTGGATATCAGTAATCTAATAATCAGCCCACAGTATAGCACTTCCTCTGTCATGTAAAAGAAAGGCTGGGGAGAAGGGCAAACCCAGAACATTGGCCTAAACATGCCTCTCATTTTTTCCATAATCTATTTGTGGGTATTTTATAAATATCTGCTGCTTTTTAAATTGGGGGTGGCAGCCACATGTGCCCCTATTCTTAGACCAGTGCTAAGGTAAGCCGTTTCGGAAGGGGGAAGGCACAGGCATAGATGTGTACAAATAAACACCACAGCAAAACACCAGATGATGCAAATTTGGGAGGACATCTTAACATTTTGCCAAGTACCCGGGTTTTCTCAAGAATACCCAAGACCTTACCTAACATAGGCAAGGCCCTGGATTCAGTCCCTAGTATTGCAAAAAAGAAAAACATAAATAAAAGAACTCCAGAGACCAATTTAGCACATTGTTAACTATCCTTGCAGTGTTGTTTAAGGTCTATTGCATGGACCACACCTATACCACCATTCGGGTGCCTGTGGCTGCCTCGGTGAAGGAAGTCATCAGTGCAGTTGCGGACAAACTGGGCTCCGGAGAAGGCCTGATCATAGTCAAGATGAGTTCTGGAGGAGGTAACAGCTTTCATTAGCATTTGGTGCTTTTGCAAAATGGGGACACCTAAATAGAAACCATGCATGGCCATCCCAGGGTGACCCAGAAAGGTGACTTGGGGCTGTGTGTACTCCCATGAATAACAGAAAGCGTATAGGTGAAGATGGGCTGGGTGAGTGCCTAGATCCCCTTTCTTATAGATAGTCACTGTAAAGCGGAGAGAGGGAAAGTGATTTATGTGAGGCAGTTGTAAGTACATGGAAGTCAGCCTGGAGTTCTTTCATTATAAACCCTTAAAAGAAAAAGAAGGAAAAAAAAAAAAGCTGCAGGTCTCAGAGCCCTGTGAAACATGGGCCCTAACAGGGAATCTAGCCCAATCAACTGAAGGCTCTAGACTTCTCCAAGCCTAAGGTTAGTGGTGGTCTATCACTTGTTCCTTTGTGCTGATGATGGATGGTTCCTCGTTAGCCGCCCCCCAGGTTACAATTTCTCTCATTGTCCCTGATCACTCTATGCTTTCCTGAAATGCCATGTGTTCATCTGTCCTATGTGTACTTAGCATGGCTAAGACAGGACAGAATGAGCCAGACATAGCCTGTGTCACTGAATTGCTCCCCCATCAGGGAGGAGATAGACAGTAAATAAACAGGGATGCTCCATGCTGGCAGGAATCTTAGGAATAGGCAGGCATGTGCAGCAAGAGGCCAAAGAGAGGAAAGGGGAGGTTAATTTCCTTAGTAATGATTTGTAACCATTGCGGGAAGGGGGTTCTTCAGAAATAGGTGGAGCCATTTCTACCTTGTATCAAGGCAAATGAGTCCACTGATGTAGGATTTTAAAATGCATGTTGGATTCCCAAGATAGCCCCTTCCATTCCTGCCCGAGCCACTCAGGTCCAGGATGTCTGCCCTTGCCAATACCATTGTCACTTTCTTCCTGTAGCTATCTTGGGCTCTTCCTTATTTCCTTTAGGTCTTTACCAAATGTCTTACTGAGACTTCTCTCCTTCCTTTACTTGCCTGTCTGAACTGTTCACTCCCCAACAGTATTTCCTAGCCCTTCCAAGCTATAGTTTGTTCCCTTGTCACTTCTCATCTGTCATGTTCCTTGTCTGCATCCCCTTCTGTGCTATAAGATCTTCCTGGACTGGGCTGTTTTTTTTTTTCCATATTGTTCCCTTTTGTATCCCCAGAGCCCGAAGCAGTGTCTGACACATTATAAATGCTAAATAAATTTTTATTTATTAAGAGAACTGATTTTTTAAAAAAAATGTAGCAAGTGGTTGAATGTAGTTAATGCTATTGCCCTACAAATTAGGGAATATGTGAAAAAAAAAATAATAATACATTTTGCAACTAAAATCATGTGGTATTTCTGAAACCCTCTAAGTTTTCTAAAAGTTATCTTCCCATCTCCTAAGTGCTGGGCCTTATTACCATCTAGAAACATAACTTGTTATATAAATGGCTGGTGCAGTTTTTATATATAATCACAGCTGCAGCACAGAACTGGGTGAATTGACCCTCAGGTATTTCAACTCCTGTTGTGTGGTCATTTCTGATGGCATCCTGAGTGTCGCGTAGCTGTGTGAAAGCCGTGTCGTTTTTATTCAGTGGGTCCTTTCAGTCTTGCATTTTATGCAGTCGCTCTGCGTGTTCCGGTAATTCACAGAGCTGGCAATTTGTTGGTGTGATTAGGGCAGTGCGGCAATTCTCAGATGTGTTTAATAGGCAATCTCTTGCTTTTTATGTTCACAGAAAAGGTGGTGCTCAAACCTAATGATGTTTCGGTATTTACGACGCTCACCATTAATGGACGCCTGTTTGCTTGCCCGCGAGAGCAATTCGATTCCCTGGTAGGTGTGGATGGCCTCCTTGGAGCCACATCTGCAATCAGAACAGCCTGTCTGGAGCTTCCTTTTACGGTCACATTGAACCTGGGTGCTAAAATATCTTGAAGGCTTCTTGTTCTATACTGAGGCCTGTTGGGAAAGCCTCAGGTCTCTGTTTGGGATGCACTGAGCTTTAGATTTTTGTTTGTGGAAATTAGCTGAGCAGCCATTCTGGGGGCAGAATGCAGCTTTCTGTACTCCTCATTGTCATTCACTTCATTTAAATGTCCTCGATGTGAATATTAATGTTAAAAATCCTAATACTTAGACCAGGATGAAAATAATCTTTGTTAAGAGCAAGATGTTGCTAATTGTAAGACTTAGATTGCCACTTAGAGGGATGTAGAAATGCACTGTGGCAAAACCACCCTCAACGTAAGAGAAATGCTCTTTCCTGAAAGTGTTCTCTCTGCCTTGTAGGGAATGCCAGAAGCCAGAACCCTTCCCTAAGTCTTCAAAACATTTGTTCCCAGCCACACATAACTTTCCATGAACAAAACTATGTGTTCATTTCTATTTATCCTATAAAAATTAGGCATGGGAACGAGTAGCTGTTAAAATATCTTAGAAAGTCTACAACACCAGTTCAGAGAGTTGAGAAACTAGTTTTCTGGACTTTGGACACACAGGGCTTTCCCTTCTAAGGGAAGGACTACATGAGAGGTAAACTGTATGGAATTTCAGGAAGATGTTTCAATACCCTAAGAGTACATAAACAGGTTTCAAGTTTAACCAAATCAGCTTTCTAGGTAACTCAAGAATCTTGGACTGGTGGTTTGACAGAGCACTTGCTTAGCATGTGTGAGGCTCTGGGTTCAATTCCCAGCACCAAAAAAGAAAAAAAAAATCTCCTCTTTGGAATTTTAGTGCTTATTTTTCCTGATTATGATCCTGATTTCTGATTTGGGGAAAGTCATTTTTACAGTATCATGTATTTCTTTGGAGAAGAACTTCACAAACATGGGATTTATCCATCCTGAACCTTACTGACCACTCCACTTTCCTCAGCCATCAGCACCAGAAGATCAGAATCAGCTCATGTGCTTTTCCTCTGCATTCATGTTTTTTTTTTTTTTTTTTTTTTTTTGTGGTGCTGGGGATTGAACCTATGACCTTGTGCATGTGAAGCAAGCACTCTACCAACAGCTATAGCCCCAGCAGCACCTTCATTGTTTCTTAATAAATATCTCCTAACACTAAGGGATAGGAAAAAATGTCACAAATGAGTCGCACTTCCTCTCCTGGAAATGAAATCCGGTCTCACTGGGGCCCTATGGAAGATGCTGTGTGACATGTTTACCTTGCAGTGTGCAAGGGCCTCTCTTGCCAACTGGCTCTTGGCTGCAGAGACAAACGGTGTGGGGGATAGACAGACACGTGGACTGTCTCCAGCTCCCTGTGGGGCAGATACTAAACTTTTTAAGCCTCTGTTTATTTGCACACAATCCTGCAGCTTTCCAAGTTCTTAGTCCTTGCTTATCTTCCATTTTAAGTCCTGAGTAGGTGAAAGGAATGTACTTTGCCACAAGCACCCTGGACAGGAACTTCTTCCCTGAGGGTGCTCTGCTGTTCACTGCGCTCACAGTAGGGAACCTTACTGGCCACTTTGCCAGAGCCCTGGGGTTCCTTTTCTAGCTTGCTGAAGTTTTCCTTGGAGGACAATATTTCTAGGAAGAGTTATGTAGGGGATGACTCCACAGTACAGAATGTCGTCCAAACCCTTTGATCTATCAACACATACTTACAAAGTGTCTGCTCTGTGCTCAGAGCTGTGCTAGCTTCTGTGTCCAAGAGGACAAGTGCCCCAGCACTTCTGTCTTTAGGACAGTTAACAGTCAAATTAGGGAGAGGAGACGGACGAACCCATGGAGCCTGAAGAGAATAAGTGTTAGTGTTAAATTGTGTTATCTAAAATTAAGAAGTGTGTTGGCATCTAGCCTAGTGGTTAAGGGCTTGGACTCTGGAGCTTTCCTTTCTGGACTTCTTATGTAAGTATAAATGTAGTACAAAGCAGATTATAATAAATCCCACTATGCTGTCATTTTGTTCTGCTTTTGATCCATCCACTGCTTCCTTAGATTTTTGTACCAACTATATCATCACAGCCATTGTGGATGATTCTGGCGCTGGGATGGTCTCAAAGAAGGCTCCATCATGGTCCATGTACCTCAGAGAGCTCACAGTGTAACCAGTGGGAATCCAATGTAGTAAATGTCATCACAGAGCTCCACACAGTCTGTGTAGTGCAGACCCTGACGGAAGCTCTGCTGTGCCTCATGTAGGAAGCCTCCACAGGAATATCTATGAGAAATTGGCCCACTGAGATGCTTCCCAAAGAGCCCAGGGTCAGCCTGAAAATTCCCCCACTCCTGAGAGAGAAGCAGCTTGCTGCTTGGAGCACCTTGTCAGTGAGCTCCGGAGGAAGGGGTCAGATGCCTTTTGCCAAGAAAGAGGGCGACTTGGTGAACCCTGCCCACTCAAAGCAGAGAGTCTCCGGGGCTTTCTGTTACTCTGTGAAGGGAGACAGGGATGACAGACCAGCATCCATGACCAAAAGACCTTGGCATCTTTCTAATTATTATAATCTGCTTGGGAGATGTTGGGTTAATTTATCCTCTATAAAGCCTCAGGTGGAACCAGTGGGCAGCCAGGTAAACTGAGTCTCTGCAACCTCAGGGAGAGGGCAAGCCCAAAGTGTGGGTGCTGTACACAGGAGTAGAGGTACTGAGTTCACAGCAGCAGCTTCAGGAGGGGAAGGAGAATGTGGAAAGCCAGTCTCACCTGAAAGATGGTCCTAAGACCTGGAATTTAAACTCTTCCCTATCGTTTCTACCTAAAGCCTCCCCGCCTTGGAAACCATTGTCCTCATTGGCTGCCATGAACCATTTTCCCATCAGTTTCCAGTTGGTTCCCTGTTTTAGAACCTTGGAATCATTGTCCTGCCTTCCCGTTCTCTGTCCCCTGCTTACAGTGAGTCAGGGACAACACTCCAGGTGTGCTGAACACACTTTCCTGAAAATTTGTATTGCAAATTTATATCCCTTCTGAAAAGTGAACTAATCTGGGAAAGGACCCCCTCTCTGCTGGTGTTTATATATTGCGTTTAAATCATTCCCACCAAAGCCTCTTAAGAAGCCTAGGGATTCAGACCCCAATTTACCAACTAAGGAATTATGGCCCAATGTACTAGAGCTAGAAACAGTCAAGAGATTAAGGGATCAGTCCAAGTCTCTGTAGTTACAGTGGGTTGATGTTTAGTCTGTTGCTCTCTAAAGCTGACACTCACCTGGTCTATGATCTAGTCTATTCCAATGTCTGAGTTATTAATCCATTCCTCAGAGGACTTTCTAAAAGATGCTCAAGCTGTCCATTTTGTCCCCCTATGCTCTGCTCCTGCCAAGCAGTTCCCCTGATGACTTCCCCACCTCCATGCCTTCCTGGTCATCCTTCATCCTACAGTAAATCATCTAAATACTCAGGGAAAAGCTTGCTCTTCTAATCCAATGGAGTGGGTCTGCTATATCTTTCAAAGCCAAACTTCTTCCTCCAAGAACCTTTTCAAGCCACACATTCATTGCAAATATCCAGTAACTTTAAAAGTCTCATTCAGGTTTCCCCACCTGTTTATATCTGTACCTGGGAGTCCTGTGTGTTTGTATTTCCATTTCTTTAGATGTGTAAATGAAGCTCAGCAGCTGAAGGTACCCATGTGCAGTGTTGTGCTTGCTAGTCAGGACTGACTCTTTTACACTGTGAATTTGATTGATGTTCTCTTAGGCTTTAGCCTCTTAGATGCAGGGACCACCTACCTACTGAACATTTAATTTCTTTAGTGTAGAGGTAATTTATAGAATATAGTGTTTTTGGTGATCATGATGAAGATGATAAAACATATAACATCAGTACTTCTGATATGAATATTGAATATACAAATATTGAATATATTAATATGGATAGCATCATATTGGGAAATATTAATTCACTTTTGTTATTTTGTAATGTATCTACTGCCTCTTTCGTATATAGATAGATATTAATGCATTGTATATACATTTCTTTTGTCTCTGTATCCTTTCTTTCTAAGGAAAAGAATTCTAGATCATTTTTCACAAAAGAAAAATAAGATAAGTAAGTAGATGGAAACTTTTGACCGAGGGTCTTCCAGAAAGTAGCAATTTGGTGTGTTAATTTGTAGCTCCAAACAGTACAACCCTGTGAATATCATTCTCAGTCTCCCAAATGCCAGGGGTTAGAGGAATGGGACATTGTATGTGACCTCAGCTCCCTGCACTCTCCACCTCGCTGCCCCAGGCAGTGTGTTAAAGATGGAGACACAGTGACTTGACCAGTCACCAGCAGCAGTAAGGAGCACTGTGGATAAAAGTCTAAAATTGCCCTGGCAGATCCCTTCGTAACAGCGTCTGTGGGAAATAGGAGGGAGAAAGTCTCCCAAAACTTCATCCATCTTTACTAGGGAAAGAGGAGAGTTTCTAGGGACCTCCCAGACCCAGCAATAAGAGAACCTCTTCAAGTCACCCTTCGCTGAATCTTATTTGCTGGGGTCCACATTTTTCAGTCGTGGAATGGCTTCTAAGGATGGTGGTACCATAGAGACAACACCAAAGCAAGTAGCAGTAAGAGTAATGGCATCTTTCTCTTGAGTAAAAGTTTCAAGATATTCCTGGAAACATTTCCAGAATCCTTTGCCCTCAGAAAACCCCTGAAAATATTCAGCACTATGCTTTTGTCTGTTTTGAGATTCTGAGATATTTTTGCATTATCATCCACAGACTCCTTTACCAGAACAAGAAGGTCCAACTGTTGGAACAGTGGGAACCTTTGAACTGATGAGCTCCAAAGATTTAGCCTACCAGATGACAATTTATGATTGGGAACTCTTCAACTGTGTGCATGAGGTAAGGTGCCCAAGAGGGTGCATTAATAGATGCAATAGCGACTTTGAATGAAGCCCCCTGGCCTTGCTCAACTCTGTGTATTAACATGTGTTGCCATATGGAAGCCACATGGCAGGTTTTTTTTTTTCCATATTGTGTTTATAAATAATGCCTGTTATGAAGTCTTTAAATATTAAAGAAATTTTTTTATGGTGCTGCATTACGTATGCTATGTCTTCCTAAGTCTATTAAGCCAGTAACACCTAGTTTATGTTTATGTATTTAACAGGCATCATAGAAGCCCTTCATATTTGCAGGGCATGTCTCATCCGGGTCGGTGATTGAATTCACATTTGCTGACCGATAGAACAAATTGGAGAAGCCAGGCTGGCTGGTGTTTTGATTTAAAAACAAATAAGTGAAATTGTTTTTCTTTCTGTTCTAGCTGGAGCTAATCTATCACACATTTGGAAGGCATAATTTTAAAAAGACCACAGCAAACTTGGATTTGTTCCTGAGGAGGTTTAATGAAATTCAGTTTTGGGTTGTCACTGAGATTTGCCTTTGTTCCCAGCTCAGCAAACGTGTTCAGCTCTTAAAAAAATTTATTAAGATTGCAGCCCAGTAAGTATCTTTAACTTGGGAAGAGAACAAAATCTCTGAGCTGTGTTTTCATTTGGTTTTCTTAGACTACACCTCGAAAGAGAAAAACAGAACAGAACATAGGAACTCCTTGTGCACAAGGACCAGCCATTAGGGGCTCACAAATAACTGAATTTTTGTAAAAGAAAAATGAATTTCTCCTAATTTTTATAATAATTGACATCCCTATATAAATTTGCATCGTTCAGCATTAATTATAGAATCAAAACTATGACCTTTTCTTTTTTTTTTTTCTTTTCCTTTGTTCTGAACTACTCAGAATTTTTTTTATCTTCTTTGGTTCTTCCAAAGTTGCTTTGCACAAAGTCCTTGAAGAGGCTCCTGAAATCAATGTCCAGCATGACACATTCTCACCAGGAGAGGGCAGTGGAGCATGCTAGTACAACAGCACATCCAGCTCAGCTAGAATAAAATCAGTAAAATGCATGAAGGCGAGCTAACCTGGTACAAGAAAATCATCTCCATAAACATCAGAAAAAGCAAACATCTTATAAATATTCTATTTAACAGCACTTCGTGGGAAACAATTTATTTACTGCAGGGGCCAGTTAGATTTCTCCCTGACATGAATTTAATCTTCCCTGGCTATTTAGATATGCCTGACAACCTCCTGTTTACTTCCATGTTTTTGGTATCACCACAGTGCTAAAAATAAAAAGCTAAATGTGGCCTGTGGCTGTGAGACTCCTCTCCTTTCTAAAAGCAGGGAGAACTCAAGCACAGGGAGGTTGGGAGAGCAAATGACCCCAGCCAGGCAATTTTCTTGAGCCAAATAGTTGAGATCCCATACGGTGTCTGATTCCCAGGGCTAAACAAAGACATAAAGGCTGCTCGATATTTTATAGACAGCAGCTTGCCAAGTGCCTTGAATTATTTTGCCAGAAATTCAAGGGTTTGACAAAATACCGGATCCCTTGGATTCAAATTCTGCTATCTCTTCATTTGGAAAAGCTGGCTGTTTGAAGAAAATGATTTGGTAAAACGTTGCATATGCATTTCTGGTTCAGAACATAGCCACACTCCCCAGGAGCGTGAACAGCCTCATTGCAAAGAACAAATGCCTTCACGTGTTTGGAATGAGTGGATTATGGAAACTGTGACAATGTGTGCTTTCCCATCATGAGGAGCACATTCTCTCTCACCTCAGCCTGGCAGTGTCAAATGCAGCAAGGGAAAGAGTCAGTCTGTACACAAATGTGAGGATGCAGAAAACCCTTTGGTGCTCAATCCTGTTATTTTACAGAGGCAAAAAAGAAGAACCCCTCAAAAAAAACCAAGAATCTTTTTTTTTTTTTTGCATGATTTTTCCTTTCTTACCCTGCTTCCTTCTGATTGTGAGTGAGTGGGTGGACCCGGCCTTCAGTGTACATTACTTAACCATTATTAAGCCCTGTGCTGAGCTTGCTGTCCTATAATGGAGCTGTTCACAGCCCAGTTGGAGAAGATTGTAGACTTTCATTGCTCTAAGATCTGCAAGAATGAGATGGAAACCTGGTGGCAGTCGTGTTCGTCCTACTTGATGTTTTTAGAGAACCACAACATATTCGATTCAAGCTTTGTCCTCTCCAGAACTTTGTGAAGTTGGAGAGGGGAGGCAGGTGGTGGTTTCCTTTGATTCCTAAAGGAAACTTAGGTGTGGAGAAATCTTGTGACATACCATGGGTGATGAAGTCACCACAGGTCTACAACCCAGCATTTATTCTTTCAAGATCAGACACAAGACAAAGGCAAATACAAATAACTGCACTCTCTGCCTTCAGTCCTGGTGTCTCCCAAATAACTTGGAAGCCACTACCCCAGCACCATGAGACCTTGCTGGCCTTCTCATGAAACAGACACATTCTAGCTGCTCTGGAATATTCATTCCCATTTCCATTCAGACCATTGAAGAATTACTGTTGCTACCTTTGCAAGAAGAAACTAGGTAGCAAATGCAATCATTTACTTGCCTTTTATAAAAATGTTCATTCAAACAGGATCTAACTAGGAACTAGTAAACTTAGATAGCCACATTGATTTAAGGTGAAGGTTTTGTGCATATTGCAAAAATGAATTCTTTCCCTTTTCAGGGACCTTGTATGAAGAAGTTGAGATTCCTTTTGTTTTTTGTTTTTTTTTGGTAATTAAACCAAGTGCCTGGCCTAGATATCACCATTCTAATAAGAATTTCTGGACTTGTTCCACATGTTTCCTCCCCAAGTATATATTCTTAAAAGCTAATAGTAGCACAAGTACAGATTTAAAATGCTCAGCTTCTTTGATGTCAGGAAAAGGTTCACCTGTCATCAATTGTTTAGGTCACTTCTCACATTCACACTTCTGATATTTATTCCTTTGGGATCATGCCTTAAAACTTGGTAGTTTTCAACACATGAGAAGCATTTGCATGGCAGGTGAAAGGCAGGTGGCTGCAGCATTATGGCTTCTTAGCCCCACTCCAGCTACCAGGGAAGGTGTCCATCCTCAGGCTAAAGGTCTGGAAGTCTCCAAGGACATTTTCCTTTTTTGCTTCCTGTCCCCTAGGATGTTTTCCTCAGGTCTTTCGTGACATTTAGCAAATTTGAAATTATAACAACTTCCAGGGGAAGTGTCTTCAAATTACTTCTCAAAACTCATACCTCATTGGCCAAAACCATCAACTTCCTAAAATGACAGGGAGAAATCAAACAGCAGAATGCGGTTACCCAAGTGGAACTTACACAGTGCACCAAATCTATTATTGCTCATTCACATAAAGGAATCCTAAAGAATATTGATGACTATCAGAAATAGAACTCTAATTTTTTTTTATTCTGACCAAAAAATGTCATTTTACTCAAACTCATCTCTCTTGTGTTTCAGCTGTAAGGAATACAGAAATCTGAATTCCTTTTTTGCCATCGTCATGGGACTAAGTAATGTTGCCGTTAGCCGCTTGGCACTAACGTGGGAGGTAAGCTTCAACTGAGATCCAGCTGTGACTTTTGCCTTAAGAATGAAAACACAGGGCTGTGGTTGTGGCTCAGTGGTAGAGCGCTTGCCTTGCATGTGGGGGGTACTGGGTTCCATCCTCAGCACCACATGAATAAATAAAATAAAGGTATTGTGTCCATCTACAACTAAAAATTTTTAAAAAAAAAGAATAAAAATGCAGACTCACCAATGGGCTTTTTTTCTAGAAATATCACTCACTCTGGTATAGTAATGTAAAAGTTGGGACCTTTGGAGGGAGATGGCCTGTCTCCTTTTTCCAGTTGCGACAGAATGAGACTTTAAAAAGATATCATCCTTTTCTCTGTGGGAAAGGGCATGGGAGAATCTCAGCTTCCTGATCTACACAATGTAAATAATAAGAAGTCCAGTTCATAGGTATAACATGAAGGAACACCATTTGCTTAGAGGACTTGCAAAGGTTTTGCCATAGATTCCATTGTTCTCTGAGAAGTCTGCTTATTGCTTTTGTCCCAAGTCTTACCTATGACTGAAGGAGGAGAAAAGATCCATGTTTAGCCAAGTCATCATTTTGCTCCTGGGAGAAACAGCTCAGAGGCCAACTGCTTAGAGTGGCAGAGCACTAAGCATCTCTTAACCACCTGGCAGACTTCTCTCTCTGTAGAGGAGCAACAATTGACTAGGATCCTGTTTGGGGCAAAAGTTATGCAGGTGTGCCATGAATTTCTATAGCAAACAGGATGAGTGGTTTGTTGATATTTGGTTGTTCAAAAATATCTTCATTTATCATGAGCTTAGTGCTCAAAATGTGCTTGACCTCTTACATGTGACATACAGTTGAAAGGAACACTCATCTCCAATAGAACATACACACAAAAATAGATTCTTACTAAAAATAAAAAAAAAAGTATGGGAGACACAAAAAGAGGGCAAGGAGTCTATAATAGACTCAATTTGCAATGGTGCTTAAAGACAGCTGTCTGCCTCTCTAAATGTTTCCTTTGAAATTACTTTCCTCCCCATTTCCTTCTTGAAACTATTTTCTTTCTCTGTCCCTCCTAAATGTTTCCATTGTTTATAGGGCAGGTCCTCACAAGTCCTTCTGTCTTGTGTTTCTCTTAAAATTCCAGGCAGATGCAGCACACAGCAGCTCATGCCCTGAATATAGGAATGAGGGAATTGGTGAGGCCTGCATGCCACGCAGCTGTATCATCTTCCAGCTAGCAAAAGGACAGAGCTAGAGCCGCCAACAAATCTAAGCAATGAAGCCATTGCGCACCGCCCCTGTCTTATAGCCCAAGGCTCTTGGGATCTTTAGAGACCTAGGGTTCCCTTCAGATAGTTTGCTCTCCCCAGCCTGCCTTACCCAATCTACTTCCAGCTTCTAATCCCTGCAAGGAGTCCAAAGGAGTTGATTGGGAAAAATAAAAGAGGCATAAAGCCTCATGGGGGTCCAGAGAGGCCTGGTAGAGGTGCCACATAATAGCAGAGAGTAAGACCATAGCATATGGGAAACACTAACTGAGTCCCTCTCCTGCTCGGAAAAGAAAAACCGGAGGCCTCTGGGGAGGGTGCAGCCAGCAAAAGAACAGAACTAATTGGCCAGTCCATGGTCGGCAAAAGGAGATAGTTAATTGGCTAGTCCTCTAGTTTCCACCAGGGATAGGAGTACTTTGTGTCTCTGAGCTTCTATTTTCATCATTGTGTGTCACTGACAAGAGAAGATGAGGCTTTCATCATTCATAAACCTTTCTTTTTAAGGTGAAATGTAATTGTGTAGTCCGATAGGAAGAGCTTTCATTCACGAGCATCTTTGATTTGGGTTGATCTCCCTGTATTTTGTGAGAACGTCCCAAGGGCTTCCCAGACAACTCCAGTGCGTAGGTGATGGCCATGCAAGCCGTGTGAGGAGCAGCCCCTCACCCCCAGGAGCTCCAGCAGGTGTGCGAAACACTGGAAGAACAACACAGGGAGTAGAGCTAAGCCACATGGTGGAGTGAAGGGAGGGGTTCCCAGCAGAGAGCAAAGAGAGTCCCAGATGAAGCCAGTGAGATGATCATCTGCAGTAGGGTGTCGCAGCCTGAGCTTTATTGACAGTCTGAGCAGGACACATCCTCATCATGGAGCATTGTCCTGCACACCATAGGATGCTCAGCAGCCTCCCTGGCCTCTACCCACTTGATTTCAATAACATTTCTCAGCACACTTCTCCCCAGTTGTGACAACAAAAATTGCAGACATTACTGCATATCCCCTGGGTTGGCAAAATTGCCCTTGTAGAGTTACTGCTGTTGAAGCTCAGAGTGTGGATAAATAGTAGTATTGAGAAACCACAAAATGTTATATTAGCACATGTCCTATATCCTTGAACCTAAAAGCCAGCTAAGTAAAGAAAGAACAAGAATGACAGAGGTCTAACCCAAAATGGACTATATACACAGACATTTGGGTCTAATCAGAAAAGGTCCAATTTTTTTTTTTTTTTTTTGGTACCATGGATTGAACCCAGAGGTGCTTAACCATTGAACCACATCCCCACACTTTTTGGATATTTTATTTAAAGACGGGGTCTCACTAAGTTGCTTTGGGCCTTGCTAACTTGCTAAGGCTGGCTTTGAAATTGCAATTCTCCTGCCTCAGCCTCCTGAGCCTCTGGGATTACCGGCATGTGCCACTGCACCTGGCAAAAAGTTCTAATGTTAAGAATGTCCCAATCATTCAACATGATGATTGGGATACTTTGCACAAGATCCTAGCACCCCTCCATGCCCATGCAGTTTTTAGGCCTCTAAATAACCCAAGTAACGACATCAGGTTTTCTTGAAACCAAACTTAAAAATTGATACCAGGAAAATGAGTTTGGACTGTATGAAATAAAATAAGATTTTTACAGATGTTTAAATGCGACTATAACAAACTGATTTGGACACAAGAGAGGAAGAGAGGAGAGAAGCTTTCTGAGGATTGTGGAGGCCTGACTGGTGAATGTTTTGAAGGTAGATTTTGCTGGGCAGAGCAGAGCTGAGTCAGGAATCTCTGGGCCTAGGACTTGTCCGTGCTTCCCGACTCTGCGTGGGGAACATGTCAGGCTGCTCCATCTTGGTTTGGCTCTGTTCAAAGACAAAAGTCCAGCCTTACCAAAAACCCAGGACCCAAGCAAAGCAGGAGCCAATGAGCTGAAAGACGATCCGGTATTGATGAACTGGTTAGATCTGCAGGTACAGTGGATGGTATTGAATCTCAGGCCAACCAATAAACAGGAGAAATCAACATATTGATAGAGCTATCAATTTTATGTTTTAGCAAAGCAGAGAAATCACGTGGAAGAAATGTCCATGTGGAAAAGCATAGAGCATAGAAGAGATGAGATAGGAAAGAAGAGAGGTGATGTGAATTCCAGCAGCACTGATGACAACCAGCTGCGTGACTTTGTCCAGTCATCTTGACTGAGACCTAACTTTTTCCACCTGTAAAACTCAGGCTTAAGTTAGTCAGATGAATATTTATTGAGCACCTTCTATGTAACCTTCACTCCCCTAGGCACTGAGGGAATAGCAGTAACAAAACTGGTAAAGGTCCTGTTGTCACGTAGCTTGCTTTGTAAAGGAGGAGTGTTGAGCCGTTTCTAAATCTCTTTTGATCCTAATATTCTCTGGTCTAAATTTATGATTGTGAGAATCAGAGAGTTTTAAAAAGGGAATGAGGGGTCCAGGTCACTTATATGAATTTGGGAAATGCAGTTCTCTTTATGAATCATTCAGTTCAGAAAATATTATAAAAGAATGCTGGGCACAATCGCACATGCCTGTAGTCCCAGCAACTCAAGAGGCTGAGGCAGGAGGATTGCAAGTTTGAACCAGCCTTAGCAATTTAGCAAGGCCCTCTGCAACTTAACAAAACCCTGCCTAAAAACTTAAAAAGAACTGGGAAAAGGGCTGGGGGTTGTGGCTCAGCAGTAGAGCGCTTGCCTCGCACACGTGGGACCCTGGGTTCGATCCTCAGCACTACATAATATAAATAAGTGAAATAAAGATATTGTGTCCAACTACAACTAAAAAATAAATATTAAAAAAAAAGAACCGGGAATGTGGCTCAGTGATAAAGTACCTCTGGGTTTGATCCCCAGTACAAAAAAATAAAAAATACACACACACACACACACACATATGTATGTGTATATATGTATATATATATACATACACACACACAATAACACACAAACACACACATATACACACAAACTAAAAGCAGTAATACTATAGCATTTATAGTTACTTTTGGCTCAAATAGATTAAGACCTTGAAAAGTCAAGTTCTCTGTATTCCAGAAGATGATTCTCAAGTGACAGGAGAGATTATAAACTGCCCTGTCTCAGAGATATTTGATGAAGAGCCAAAAGAAATATGTTTCTCCTACCTAGAAATGGTAACACATGATACATATCTAGATATTGAATCTGACATATTCGTCTGGCATTTTCATTTCATTAACAGAAACTGCCAAGCAAGTTCAAGAAGTTCTATGCAGAGTTTGAAAGTTTAATGGTAAGTGACAGTGGCTTCTTTATTCTGTTCACTGTCTGCATTAATCCAGTTTCTGATTAACTGAATTGAAGTTCTCATTTCGGAAATTTTATCTGTCCTTGTGTGACTTTAAGAAGTTTATGATCCCTTTTAGTGCTGCTAAAACAAGCATGTCTGACTAATGAATGGCACCCTCAGGAACTAACTTAAAGAGGACTTATGTCCCACATAAGGTCAATTTGTGTAACTAAGAAAAGCAATGTAATGGGGTCCTTTCCATCCAGCTCAGGTTGGCTATGGATTGGACGCTGCATATCTCTTGGCTTGCCAAAATTATTTTTCCCCATTGGCTGGGAGGTGTTAACAGAAAGAAAAAGAGTGAATGGGACTTGCTAGGAGCCATGGGATGGTTTCATGGGGCAAGTCAGAACCTGCAGGCAGGTAAGCAGGTAGAGGGAGCCTTGAGCCAACCTCCCAGGGAGGAGGCAGGGCTTCAGGGGAAGGGAACTCTCCGAGTTTTACTGGTTTCATATTTACTTTTTTTAAAATTAAATTATTTATTTATTCTAATTTGTTATACATGATGACAGAATGCAATTCATTTCATATTACACATATAGAGCACAATTTTTCAATTCACTGATTATACACAAGGTATTTTCACACCATTCGTGTCTTCATACATGTACCTAGGGTAATGATGTCTAACTCATTCTGCCATCATTCCTACCCCCTTGTCCACTTCCTTCTCCTCCCTCCCCTTTGCCCTATCTAAAGTTCCTCCATTCCTCCCATACTCCCCCCACCCCATGGCCATTATGAATCAGCATCCTCATTTCAAAGAAAACATTTGGCCTTTGGTTTTTTAGAATTGGCTTACTTCACTTAGCATTATATTCTCCAACTCCATCCATTTACCTGTAAATGCCATGATTTTATTCTCTTTTAATGCTGAGTAATGTTCCATTGTGTATATATACCAATGTTTCCCTATCTATTTATCTACTGAAGGGCATCTGGGTTGGTTCCACAATTTAGCTATTGTGAACTGTGCTGCTATAAACATTGATATGGCTATGTCCCTATAGTATGCTGTTTATAAGCCTTTTGGATATAAACCAAGTAGTGGGATAATTGGGTCAAATGATGGTTCCATTCCAAGTTTTCCAAGGAATCTCCATACTGCTTTCCAGATTGGCTGCACCAATTTGCAGTCCCATCAGCAATGTATGAGTGTGCCTTTTTCCCCACATCCTCACCAACACTTATTGTTGTTTGTATTATTTTTAAAAAATTATTTGTTTATTCTAATTTTTCATACACCATGGCAAAATGCAATTCATTTCATATTACACATATAGAACACAACTTTTCAAGTCACTGATTGTACACAAATATTTTCACACCATTCATGTCTTCATACATGTACTAACTCATTGCCCCCTCCCTCCCCTTGGCCCTATCTAAAGTTCCTCCATTCCTCCCCTTAGCACCTTTAGGCAAATCACCCCTTCAAACCAGAATGGAAACAGAAAGCAAAATATTGTCCTGCCATATGTGAAGTTGTTTTAAAATGCAAATCAGTTTCTGTAACTAAGTCTACCTTTCTTTTGTAGCTACATTTGATTCAAAAATACCCAACTGTGGGATGACTGATGTGCTGGGAGTTAAAAGGGGCTATGTTGTATGTGTCACTCATTGACCAGCATCTCTTTGTCTCCTAAGGATCCTTCGAGAAACCACAGGGCTTACAGGCTGACAGCAGCTAAGCTGGAGCCCCCTCTCATCCCCTTCATGCCTCTACTCATTAAAGGTAATCCTAAAATATATGCAGACCAGGAGGTGGTGAGCCCTGGGGGAAGAAAGACAAGCAACATCTGATCAGATCCATCTCTTGGGGAAGTGTGATCCCATTCTTCCACCTCTTTGTCACCTCCTCTGAGCCCTGACTTTCAGAAGGGGTTGGAAGATGATTGGAAGAGCAGGGAATCTATGATTTGGAAGTATTGTTAGTGAAACAGAAGGTTAGTTTAGAAATTTTACTAATTTCAGGAAAAGTGATTTAGAAAGTTAAACACCTAACATAAAAGGAACTATTATCAGCCCTATTCCACTGCAGTGTTATGCAAATCCACCTGCATAATCTAATGGTGCTATTGTACTTTCTTAGTATGACATATTTCGGTTAGTGATTAGAATGTGGCTTTTATTTCTTTACAGATATGACATTTACTCATGAGGGGAACAAGACGTTCATTGACAATCTAGTAAACTTTGAAAAAATGGTACGTGCAGTATTATAACTTTAACCACAATGTTTTTTTAAAATAAAATTTGCATTTGTACTAATAAAGGAAATAATTTCCATATACGCTGCCATGTTTAAAAAGGTAGTTACACATAAAGGAGTTTTGAAATACTTGGTTCAAATTGGCTACCTATTTTATTCTGTCAGTTCTCTTTTGTGAAATTGAATAGTATTTGTGCTGTGGCTCACAGCAGCAGCCAGCTTTTATGCTGTGCGTTTCTGTCCCTGGCTGCCTGTTGCTAAAATGCACAAATGTTCCAGTGACTTCTGTGTGGTTGTTTTGTTGTAAGGTTTGTGGAGCTAGACTGCCCCAGGATGCCTTTGAAATGTTTATCGGCAAAGCCTGACTTTAGTGCACTAGGTAAAAAGCAACTCTATACAGATCTTGATTATGGAGTATTAATCTAAGTGTGTCTTACCCATCCCAATAAAGTTCACTCAAGTTCAGAGAGGGAACTTGAAACTCTCTGTTAACAAGAAGAAGAAATTTTGGTAACAAATGAGGGACTGGCATATGCATATTCAGTATTTTCCAACCACCTTCCCATAATCAACCCTGCTCTCCCCCTCCAAAAAGTGTTGTCTGACATAGTTACTTTTTTTTTTTTAAAGAGAGAGAGAGAATTTTAATATTTATTTTTTAGTTTTCGGCAGACACAACATCTTTGTTTGTATGTGATGCTGAGGATCGAACCCGGGCCGCACGCATGCCAGGCGAGCACGCTACTACTTGAGCCACATCCCCAGCCCCTGATATAGTTACTTTGCTATTTATTTTCTTATTTTTCATGAAGCAATAAAGCAGGTCACACCAAAACCTTTCTTTGGCTACACAGCACATGTTAGTAGAATGCTCCATTGTCTCTGAACCCTTTGGCTGCATACTGGATTTCCCCTGGCTTATGATTTACAGTGAGGATGTGGCACTGTAAGAAAAGCCCAAGACTTGGAGCTCAGGAGACATGAGGTTCAATACTCAGTCAACACTTCACTTTTCCATGGGGATCATGCCTGCTCCATCCATCTTTGGGTTATAGTAGCTCCATGATACATGAGTCTTCCTTTGAACCATAGAATTCTTATCAGAAAACTGCAATTCTAATTGTTTCTTGAAATTGAGCTAGTATAGGGCTGGGATTATAGCTCAGTTGTTAGAGTGCTTGCCTAGCATGCACAAGGCCCTAGGTTCAATCCCTACCACCACCACAAAAAAAAAAAAAAAAAAGAAAGAAAGAAAGAAAGAAAAAAGAAAAAGAAAGAAATTGACCTAGTATGTATGACTCTAGGAGAACTTGAAATACCCTGCAGTAATCCCATAAGGATCAGCACCATTCAGCTTGAGGAATGAGCTTATGGTAAAGCCAAGCCTGGTAGGGAAGCATGGGTCTTGCTGGGCACTAAGTTCCCATATCTTAAGTTCTTAGGAAATATGAGCATATACTCCTCAAATACACTCTACACCAGAGGACACAAAACTTCTCAGTGGTTTTCCTCCTCAACTCCCACACCAAGGGCAAGCTACAAATATTTCCATTACTGTATCAGTTTAATAATTTTTTGATCAAAGTAATAAAATTCTTTGCTCATTTATTAATATGGAGAGAATTAAACAATTTCCCTGCATTCTTTTTTAAAACAACCATTTTTCTGTAATGAAAGATACAGCAAGTGGGGATAAGTTACTTTCTGAATCACTTTATGCAGAAGGGCAGACTGAGGGGTGGCTAAGCCAATCACTGCACTATAAAATCAACATGTGCACAAACGTATTGAAGCTAGAGTTTCCTAAAAGGTTGACTGAGCTTTAGAACTTTTGATCACTAAAGTTAACAGAGCAGATAAGAACAGCAGAGTGCACCAAGCCGGTCATCTGTTGGAGGGGGGCAGGGGGTAAAAGGTGTTTCATCTGGGATTTTAGATCTCGGTGCTCCATCCATAACCTGCAAAGGAAAAGTCAAGGTAGTGTTCAGTGTACTAGGAGAGTGCCCCTTCCCATTTTTGTGCTTTATACCCACAGTAGTGGGTTCCTTTTGCTGAGCACAGAGTAAAGAAGTCCTTAACCCCTGCTCTCAGGGAGTCCACTTTTGCTTCACAGCAACTGACTAGCTAAGATCACATTTCAGCTGCAATAGTGGAAACCAAAATTAATGAGGGGTTAAGCAAGACAAGTTTATTTCTTTCTCACTGAAACGTCTGAGTGGGCATGGTAGCTCTGCTCTTTAGAAAGTCAAGGTACCACGCTTCCTCTCTCTTGCTATTTCATATGATCCAAGATGGTAGACCACCATGTCCCCCCTTCCATCCCAGCTTCAAGGAGGAGAAAGGAGATGATGAAGGATGCTGCTTCCCATTAAAAATAAGGAAGAAGTTGCATACCCCCTTTGTCTCACATTTCACTGCCAGAAATTTAGTCATATGAAAGGAAACCTAGAAAATGTATCCCCTATTTTGGATATCTATGTGCCCCACTAAATGTTATGGGGCTCTATGAAAGAGAATGGAGAAAGGATATTGAAAAAGTACTGTTAGTCCTCGGTTGCAGCAACTTTATAAATTGTATTTCTTTGATAAATCATTTCATGAAAAAAGTTTGATTTCCTAAATGCCTTTCCATGAACTAGATGTTACTAGAAAATGAAACAATTTCAGAAAGATTTGATTATGTTTTGTTAAACCTTGCTAGTTTTCCAACATTTTCTCCCCTTACACCAGCCCAGACCTTCCCTTTATCCCCACACTACAGCCAGTGGCTGATGCTATTCCTGTGTGTCTTGGGGAAGGATCTGTCTTTCATTCCAGGTTGATGTCAGTGCCACTTCCCAGTCATCCATCAGCAAGGGCCTGGTGTTAACAGAGCTGGCAGCTTGTGTGGGGATGGTGGACTGTGTCCCCAGAGGGAGGCCCTGCCAGGGGAGCAGAAGTCACCAGGGTGCCCAGAAACACCGGTGTCTTTTCTTGGTGAAAGCATTGCACAGTCATAGCAAATCACTGTGCCAACCCTAAGCATTTTCATTTTGAACATCTTCACCCTTGAGATCTGAAATGAGGATTAGAGAATTTGTTGCATATTGGTTTTCAGGACTTGTGAATATGAACAAAAGAGAATCCACACTCTGATCCTTATGTTTAAAAAAAAAAAAAGGCCGACATTCTTTTATTTGGGGGGAACATAAAGGAGTATTCAAAAAATGTTTGAATAAAGCCCTTCATCGTATTCTATGGCATATATGAATATTTATAATACTTAGAAGGTAGACTAGCAATGGATTAGAGGAGAATATGCTGGCCGGCTGCCACTGTCTCCGGCTGCATGAAGCATGCTGGTAGGCCAAGTGCTGCTGCCATGGAGGCTGGTTCTGTTTCAGATGTACCCATATTTAGGTGTCTGTATTTATGAATGTGATTTTTGAGGTCATCATTTTCTTAGGAATGAGAAGCATAGGGCAAACCTCTAGACTTCTGGAAGCATTAACAGATGCTAATTCAATAAGGGAGATAAATATTTTGAATCCTGTGTGTCCCTAGGCATGACCTTACATAATGAGCAATATCTATCATCAAGAATATTATTACAAGACTCACGGAGGGACCTCTGAACCTGTTACCTCAAGCTATGGAGAAAAGAATCTCTAAAAATCTAAATGAGCAAATCCATTCAATTCCCAGATGTCTCCAACACGAAGGAGATCTATGGGAGTACATTCAGAGTTTACTCTTTATATAGCTTCCGCAGACTAGGCTTAGGCAGGTTTTCCAAAGGGCATCCTTCAAAGCAACACACCATATATAGAGTGTCCTGGAAAAGGATTTTTTACTAGCAGACATAAAGATATCTAGAAAGTTATCCTTGTCCTTCATGAGATTAGAGGCAGTTGAAAAGATAAAATGTGAAATATTAAACACCAACAAAAAAATCAACAACAGTTAGAAAAACTAGGTCACAAAAGTAGTGAAAGACAAGTCAAAAAGCAAAATACAGGACAGAGAAGTTCATGCAGATGTAATAGGTAATCAAACCATGTTACATATAGTAACAGATAAAACCCAGACTTGCTGCCTTATCTCACACCCTGTTTCCTCTGTGTTCAGTCCAAGTTGGAGACACTAGCCTTCTTTCTCTTCCTTCCAGCCTCAGGGGTTTTGCCCTAGCTGTCACCTTGCCTGATATGTTCTTCCCCCAGTCTTTACCTGCCTCACCCCCTTCAGGCCTCAGCTCATGTCCTCTCCTCTGTCATCTTTCCTGACCACCCACTTCCCTGTTTCGCCCACACCCAGCTCACTCTGATAGATAACCTCAGCTTGATAGCTGGGCTCATGATCCAAGATGATCTTGTTTACATCATCTGTCATCTCCACTAAGAATGTAAGTGCCCTGGATCAGGTATCTTACCTGTTTTGTCCACTGAGATTTCTCCAGCACCTACAAGTGTGTCTGATAATGTTGTAAGTAGGCAAGAAATATTTGTTGAATATAAGAATCACCCAATTAAACACCAGTGTCAAGCTTAGGAAGGGCAGTCCACTAAAGCATTTTAAAAAAGATTTCTATTTTTAAAAAATGGAATCCAAGTAGTTTTTTTTTTTTTTTGTCTATTTTATTAGAAAATTTAATTAACCAAGGTGACCCAAAGCATTTTGCATAACTGAGACTTGATTCGAGGTTATGTTTCCCCATCCTTCTGGTCCTCTCTGGGTATTATTCTGTCTCCTCTCTCCTCCCCGAAATGCTGTGCCTGTTCTTTAGTGTCCCTCCCCGAGTGAAGATATATGCATATATACCACATGTGACTAGACAGGCACTGAACTGCCATGTCCCATGACCATCATATATATGATACACCATGACCATCGTGCCTGTGTTACACATATGTATCTGTCACATGCCCCTTATGTATTAAAGACCCACAGCTGGGGACAGGGCTCAGGCTCCTTTTTCAATGATGCATACAGTGAGAGCTGGTTTAGTTTCTGGGTCCCTTTTATCTCTGGTCCCTACTGTGCACTTCCATTTGGTTGCTATCATGGGCACAATCTTTGTAGAAGAGAGAATTTATTTTTTTCTATCTTGTAGGAAAAAAAATTCTTGTCTCAAATATGTGAATATGTGAGGTTGGAGAGAAATAATCAGATGTGATAGATGAGGTTTTACACATGCTAAGCTAGGAATAATTGGCAGAGATGCTGTATTTGATAGAAATAGAGATGGAAAGGGAATCAAATCAGTAGGAATAGAAATATAAGAAGAGAAAAAGCAATCTGGGAAACATTAAGAACAGAAATGGTAAAGATCTTAAAGGTCAACAGAAGGAAAGACAAAAACAATTCAAAGCTGTAGTTAGAAGAGGGCTGAGGTTCAGGAGCAGCTCCTCCAGGACTCGAGCAGAGAGACAGAATAGCCTGAGCAGAGGGAGGCTGTTCTGGCCATGTCTGGAGTGTAGCAGTGGAAGGTGGCAATGCCTGGAGGGCTGCTGGTCTGACCTTGAAAGGTGGACATAAAAGCCTGCACCTCAGCAGCAGGAGAGTAAGAGGAAACAAGAATCAGCAGGAGCAGGGCAGGAAGGCCCAAAGCTATAGAGTTCTGTTATTGACATCTGGGTGGCAGTGCAGGTATGACTTGGCCAGCCTGCTCCTGAGGGGTAGTGCTACAGAAAGGTCACAAAGCCCCAGTAGGAGAAGAAGCACTTGTAACCCCACATTGGATTGGAAGGTAACTGCCTACATCAGAGCTACAGGAATGGACCCTCAGGCTTGGAGTGCAGGCAGCAGTTGATCTCCCCACCACCACTTTAAAATTTTTTTTTAGTTGTAGATAGATGGACACAATACCTTAATTTTATTTTATTTATTTATTTTTATGTGGTCACACATGCTAGGCAAGCACTGTACCACCAAGCCACACACACCCAGTCTCCCCCTTTTTTTTTGTACTGAACCTTTGGACAGGTCACACAGCATCTCAGGCCCCAGGAAGGACATCTGCTTCAGAGTCACTGTGTCTTCAGCTATAGATATAAATAAATAGACACATGAATGTGGTCACAGAGTTCTCCACTCACTACCTCATTTTCCCCCTGTGCACTTCCCTCCGGAGTGCATGTCCTAAGGGGAATTCATCAGCCATCAATTGGGCCCATCCCTCACCCCAGTAGGCCAGGAACTGCAAAAACATTAATTTTTGCAAACAAGATCTGAAGACCTAAGCTTAAAATTAGTCCCAAGAAAAATCAGTTCAGGTGTGGCGAAAAGGGTTCAGTCTGCCCTCTACACCTACTGGAAGCATCTTTTAAAGGATCATGTTCACCCCACATTCACCCCTGAATTACCGATTGCTGTCGTAATGAGCCAGTTGCTAATGGGAGTGTGTGTCATCAACCTCAGGTTTGCTGGAATGGAAAAAAAAAGATGAGAAGCTCTACTTTGGAGTAATCAGGCACTTCCCCGGGGCCTAGCATTATAGAGAGTTGCCTGGCCAGCTCCAGGCTGGCCAACCTGCTGTGGCAGGACCTCTGAGCCTAGGGTGTAATTTTTGGCTCCATTCCTGTTGCGGCAGTTGGATAATGAAGCCTACCTCTCTTTAACCTTGGTTTCAGCCAAACATGATTGAGAACACCAATGAAGAAATAGTCGTCTGCCATCAAAGACAGCACATGGGGCTTAGTCTGCAGAAAGATGCGGAGACTCTAGATAGATTTTAGTGGAGATAAATGTAAGATCCTCTGCTTTGGTCCACAGAGTCAACTTCAGAGCAGGAAGCTGCCTCCACACAGCAGCTGAATGAAGCAGACCAAGAGGTTTCATTCCTGTTAGTTCAACAGATGTCAGTCATATGGGGTGTGTGTGTGGTGGTGCTGTTTTTTGTTTTGTTTTGTTTTGTTTTTAAATTATGAACTTAGATAGAATCAGCTAAGTCAAGGAACAAAGGAAGATCATTTCTCTCCACTCTACAATTAGTTCAGTCTTAGGCATTACATTGGAGCCTGTCCAGAAGAGAACTAAAGGTGTCTTAAGAAGAATTGTTAAAAAAAAATTTGAACTATTGGAGAAAAGACCTGGAGTAGGAAGATATCTATACGAGTTGACTTTAAGTATCTGAAGAACTGACTTCTTAAAAAGGGACTAAACTTATTATGACTCCAGAACTCAGATCTAGGATCAATGAGTGAAAAGTGAAGAGAGAAAGATTTTGACTCAAAATAATAAATTTATAGAAGTAAGATGTCTCTATAAACAAAAAAGGATGTCCTTAGAGGTCATGCAGTCCCCATTGTAGGATACATTCAGTGGTAAGACGCAGTTTGTAGGCAGGCTGTGGAAGGCTCTGTGCACCCTGGAGATGACTTCTGAAATCTCAGTAGCATATTAGATATTGCATGTAATGGGTGCAAAAAGGTGTGGGTTAAAATATCAGTTTAACCCTTCTATGGCCTCCTGAGAGTGTTCTGTAACCATGCACTGACCAGCAATGCTAGCGGGGTTCCCGCGTAGCTACTGTAGGTTCACACCATTAAACACTATTGTCTAGACCTCACAAAGGAAGAGAATGGACCACGTTGTAAAGCCAGATCTGGATTTTGAAGTTAAGCTGAAGTTATCTTTGAGTACAATTAAAAAGGATACGTCAAAATTAAAACCATTGTTAAAATTAATCAAAGATTTAGAAAGGTAGAATGAACTTCAGAGCTGGAAATTACTGATTTAAACAATTGTTCTCACATTTTAAACTACATAATGAGCTAAAAATTATGAAGCCTGGGAGTATAGCTATAAAGAGTAGTCTAAAGCCGAAGTCAGAATGAAATGTTTTAGCTTTCAAAACTAAAAAGCAGAACAATTACTCCCTACAGAATGGTATAGGAAGAGGTTTCTGACCCCTGCTAATTGTTTTATTATTCTTCAGAGGGGCACACTGGCAGCATTTCCCAGGGTTTTCAGTAATTACACTCCATTCAATATCTGAAGAATTACAATAATTCTACATGGAATATACTTGTGCCCTTCGGATGCAAAGCCTTTCGAGAAGTGAAAAAACAACTTAAAGTAAATTAGCAGGGAAATTATCATAGTTACTGTTTATTTCAGGGCTCCATATATCAGAGGCTAATTATACATTGTATGTTGCATTTTCTTGGAGGTATTTGTAATATATTTTTCATGCTGATCAACAGACGTTCTGGTTTTTAGGATCCTTTATGAAAGTGAAGTTCAAACTTTTTCGATTGCTTCTTTGTGTGTGAGAAATCATCCAGTGTAGACGTGGGTCATGTCATGCTTACAAAGCACTGGTATTCAGCGAGGTATTTTGATGCTCACATGTATATATTTGTAAGGCCTTGACTTTTCTATGTTTTTTTTTCCTACATAAGTTTTCCTCAAAGTCATTTTCTTTTACTTTAGTAAGTCAAAGATCTGTGAGAGAAGAAAACAGGAACTGAAATTATACAACCCCTCAGAAATTGAGGAGTCTCTTCCCCTGGGTGGAGCCTTAACAATTTTCTGCTAATGTTTCAATTAATCCACTATGTCTACAGAATACTCCATAGAATCTGGGCAGTGAAGGTGTCTTCAAACAGGCCAGGGATGGGGGGCCCAGCTATTGTTAAAATACTGTGAGCAAGAAATATACATCTTGATTAAAAAAATGGTTCTTGGGTCTCACCAGTGTTTTTCCACAGAGATTGAGGATTCTCTGTTTCTGTCCTTCATTTTCATTTTTCTCCCTTTTGTTTAATTGACTTCAGCATAAAGAATCCTTTTTATTCTTTGTTGCAAACGAAACTCTACAAAGAAATTAAGATCACTTGATGACAAAATTAACAAAGTTTAAATATGTTATGATCTGTCCATTTGATGGAATGCATGCTCATTTAAAAAATGTTTTGAAATGAAAATAACATGGAAAATGATCACAATGCAATGTAGAAAATTCAAGCCAAAATAATGTATGTATACACAGTATGACTTTATTTTTTTAAATGTGATTTTACATATTCATTTCTTAAATGCTGGAAGTAAATGTACCAAAATATTAATGAGTTTATTCTGTGAAGTAATATTCTAAATGTTTTTTACTTTGTCCTGATATTTTTCTGGTTTTCTAAAGCGTGCATATGTTTGTGTTATAATTAGAAAGAAAGTAAAAGCAAAGAAAGAAGAAAGTAAGACAATCAGGATTAACATTGCAATATACAGTTTTGCTGGAATACTAGGAAGGTCAGAATGCATAGTATGTGACAAAAATTTATATGGAGAGGGCTGGGGTTGTGGCTCAGTGATAGAATGCTTGCCTAGCATGTGCAAGGCACTGGGTTCGATTCTCAGCACCACATGTAAATAAATAAATAAACAAATAAAGTCCATCAACAACTAATTAAAAAAAATTATATGGAGAATACTTGGACTTACCATTCAGTGCATATAATCTAATACCTCATTACTGAAGCCTATTTACTATGAGAAACTTGACAAACTAATCCTCTTTCAAATCTGGGATAGTTACAAGTTCTCTTACAAATTCACATTGGCCATTGTTAAGATGATGAAAACTATTTCTGAGCATTAATTTACAGTCTCAGGAATGCTTTTACATTGTAGGGAAGAAGCAAACAATGAGAACAGAGTTAGGCTATTAATATTCCTTACCTGAAAATGCCCAGTGCCTCAGAATATGGGTGCCCTTTAAAGTCATTAAAAACGTTATACATCAACCAGCTCTTCAGATAGTCGACGTCTTAGAACATCCTGTTTCTGGTGATACCAAGCATAGACAAAATAAATAATGGTTTGTTTTCCTTTTTGGATTAAACACTAAGCTGACTTGCATTTCTGTCTTCTTTTTTCTTTTTCTGTTTTTTTCCTCTTAGCGCATGATTGCAAACACTGCCAGAACAGTGAGGTACTACAGGAGCCAGCCCTTCAGTAAGTTCAGTGCTGCTACACGCCGCAATGGAGATCTTGGTGATTAAGTCCTTTTTAATGAGCCCACTGAGACACTGTAGTAGTCTGGACAGTGTCTGATTGTGTCAGAGGCACTTTGGACCATGAATTCCTTGCAACTTGGGCTTTGGGTTGAAGGACTTTGTTTTGCTGTTGTAAAACTAAAAAAAAAAAAAAAAAAAAAAATTTACATTGTTGTAAAACTAGAAAACAACCATAGGAATACTATGTTGTGAATGGATTTAAAGAGAATCAACTTGCTTTTTTCCAGTATGGCTAGAAACAACTAGGACACAGTAGCCAACAAAGTGCCTCCAACCAGCTCTCTGTGTGACTCATTGCTTGATGTTGAGAAACTCACAGCAACATCAACCCTTGATGACTCAGTTCTTTCATTTATAAACTGGGGAAGATATTTATTGTTTCTCAGGGTGTTGCAAGAATGCATTCATGTTTATAGCACTTTTGTAAAAAGTCCCCTGGCAGGATTTTTTATTTGGAGTATCGGAGGGAATTTGAGGTGCTCTTTGAAAATGTGAACATGTATCACAAGAATTGGTATAATGCCATGCTTTCGTATGCATAAAAATATTACTAATGATATGTGACAATTGTAATCTGTCAGGAGCTGAGTTGTATCGTAGCAGCAGTGCTGCGGTCTCCTCTGGACTGGGGTTTTGGGTGAGGGGCGAAGCCTTGGCCCCCTCAATCTTGTTTGGGAGTAAGGAGGTGGACCCTGTGAAGTTTTTTGCTAACGTTATTGTATGAGTCATTTGAAGAAATTTGGCTTGTTAATACAATATGATAAGATGACATGTGTCTGACTATAAGCTTACCAGAACCATTCTCTCCCATAGGCACAATGCCAAGAGACTAGAAGGTTCTTGCTTTATTAAACAGAAAGGTTTGCTCTTTACAGTACAGAGTTGGTCCAAAGCCAGAGTTTGGCAACATGGGATACCATTTTTTTTAGTGTTCAGTGGGGGAAAATCTGGGGCAAGTAATCTTGATAATGGGAGATATTAGACCTTGAAAAAAGTTAATTCAAATGATTGTGCCTTCTCTGACTTCCAAAATGAAATTGGTCTTGCATATCATCTACTATTCCTACGTGGATTCTACCAGATTTAAAATGTCTCCTATCTTTGCCTGTAGTGATTTACTATGTGTAAAAACACAATCTTAAAGCAGTTGTGCAAGTGAAATGAGACTAGATGAGTAATACCACGTAGAAGAGGGGCTTATCATCTAGAATCCATGATCCTTCAGGGGTCCAGGAAATTCCTAAAATTATATGCAAACTCCTGTTTGCCTGAGAGGGTTCATGATCTTCACAGGTTCTCAGTGAGGTTTAAGAACCAAAGAAGAACCATGATAGAATCTGCTTTGTTACATGAGCCCCTTTGGAAATAAATTCTACATTCTCCTATGTCTTCTCTGAGAGAAGTAGAGGGAAATTATTTTTTTAAAAAACTCTCCACTGCATTTGTTGAAGTTATCAGTGACTGCTGGTAAACAACAGCTGCTCAGCTCTGAAGTCAACAATCTATAGATAAAGCTATAGGAATAGATTCATAAACATTGTGGGAATATGTACAATGTAATTACAGTATATTGTACATGTAGAGTACACTGCCAGTGAGAAGCGGAGGAAATTAAGCACAATGTGTTCTGCAGTTCACTGTGGTATTATTTATATGTGATAATTATACTGATGAGTTTCTTCTTACAGCGGGTAGGGGCCTTTGTATCTTCACTCTGCTTTTCTGTGTTCAGACCTGCAATACTCCCCTTCACTCCATATGCAGATGGCATTCTAATTGTCTTGGGTAATGGTGGGTAGATCTAACAGGAGCAACTGGGCTGCAGAAAGTAGTGTACTATGGTGGGGACAGACCCCTGGCCAGCAGTCCAGACTCCCATTTGACCACTCTCAGTGTCCAACTAGACCAAAGTCCCCAAGCCATGGGAGGGAGGTAGCTCATGGACCACAGCAGAGGTGTTGGATCAAAATAGCATTTTCCCCTTTTATTTTGAAATGTCACCATTTAAGAATTGAAGGAATTCGCATGGAAAAAAGTTCAGCTTTCCTGTTCATCAAAAAAAAAAAAAAAAAAGAAAGAAAGACAAAGAAAAGAAAGATCTAGCAACTCTGGGCACAGATTCCCACAGGGCAGCGATATTTGGGAGCTTAGTAGTCACTTCCCAAGGGACCTGTGCTTCCAGTTCAGCACTATCAAGTGTGGCCTTCCTCATTCTCGTATAATGTCTGCACAGGGCTGTGGGCATGGGGTTTTCTTGCCACTCTGGTTTGAATGAAATCAGCTAACCTCTTTGATAGCCCAGTAGCTCACATGCTTGGATCACAATAGAGTGGTAACTGGGTTTTCAGAACAAGCAGCCTCAGAATTGAAAATCTGGTAGAAGTCATAAGTTGTGGTTTTCTATGAAGCTGGACAGTTTGTAAGAACATACAATCTGCATAGCATTGCTGTGTACTGCCTGCAAGTGAAGGGGACAGTCATGACCTGATAATCTCTCTGGCTTCCTTCAGTTTGGTCCAGGTGGTAAAGTACTTTTGCGATGAGCTAATAAAATTGTCTTTTGACATTAGCCCTCATCTGGATCAAAAGAGGAAGAGACAGAGTGAGACACAGAGGTGGGCTGGTTAGGGGAAACAGTTTTCATTTGTCAGCAGGGGCTATCAGACAGATGCTCCCCCTCCCACATTTTTGTGCCCTTTCTTCTTTTTTAAAAAAACAATATGCAATACAAAGGGAAATGATCAAAAGAGATGATTCCAGGGAAGAAAAGAAGATTGGAGGATAGAAAAGAGGAGAAGGAACAAGCAAGTAGAAATATTACAGTGAATGTGGTATGTTGAAAGGTCTTGACAGAACCCAGGAATCTGTGATAAGCATAATAAGTCAATGGGGAAAATAAAGCTGTATCTATATGCATATATTTTGCAATGCCAATTCTCCTCCTCTTCTTCCAACAGATCCTGATGCAGCGCAAGCTAATAAGAACCATCAGGATGTCCGGAGTTATGTCCGGCAATTAAATGTGATTGACAACCAGAGAACTTTATCACAGATGTCACACCGATTAGAGCCCCGTAGGCCATAGACATCTAAAGTGCCCCAAGCAATGATTTGTCTCCAGTCCACAATCTTTCAAAAAATGCCTTTTATGCTACCATTGACTGTATCACCACTAGAGAATTCTACAAAACAAGCAAAAACACATCCTGAGACATCTCAGGGCTGCATTCAGCTTACTGACTACATGAGAAGAGAAGAAATGATTTGACTTGCATAAAGCTTACACACGCTAGCTTAGGAACCCCCAGTGTAGTCACCCTGTTTCATTTCCAGTTGTGCCATCTTCATAAGGCCCAAATGAAGAGCTCAGTAGAAACACCACTGTCAAGGGGAATCTCAAGCTCCTGATGTTTCTTCCGAGAATGTTTACAGTGCAAAATGTGCTACCAATGGGGTTTGGGCAAAGTGTTAAGGAATCTGTTAAAGTCCACATGCTAGGTTGTATTCTTCCATCCACATAATCTTACCTCTTAAGGAACAGAACCTGACCACACTACTATAAAACATTATGGCTACTTATGTAATTTAGAGAGGACTGGTCTGTAATTTCTGAATGATAGATAGAATAATATTTATGTTTACAATGTATCTTTTTTAAAATTTACAAATCAGGATTACTTATATAAGAATTCCAACTCAGTAACACCAAGGTTCTTAAAATTGCCAGCGTTAAGATAAAAAATAACATTTCCGAAGAGCACAATATGCACAAAATGTTTTTCAAAATTAAAATATTTTCCTGGGCATTAAAAAAAAAAAAAAACCTTTCAGCTACAAATTTATTGTTACTGATTTAAAAAAAATAACATATTTTCTGGATTTAAATGTTATTACAAATATCTTAATTTTCAACAATTGTTTTGCACTTTCAAATAGATTGTAAATAGTTCATCCAATCAATGGTATAGAGTTATTTATTTGCTACATAATAGATATTGTGCCAAATAATTACTTTTTATTTATTTTTATTTAGTATGTAATTTTGGAGTACATTTTTTTCTGTTTTCACAATAAGACTACATTTAATGTGTAGGAATTGTATGTATGTATATCTTCTGTAAATAACCTCTAGTACCTTCATTAAATATACTTGTTGACAAGAAATAGTTGTGTTGTTTTCTGTTCCTAAAATATGGAAGATAAACATGTGTTATGGTAGCGTGCTGGATTTCTTTCTTTTTTTTTTTTTTTTCTGGTGCTGGGAATGGAACCCAGGGCCTCACACATACTAAGCACAAACTCTACCACTGAGCTACACCCCTAGCCAGTATTATTTCTTAATTGAAATATAAAATTTATGAAAGTGCACAGTCCAGTGGTATATTTTAGCATATTAACAAGATTATAAGATAATCATCACTGTCTACCTCCAGATTTTCAGCCCTGAAAGAAATCTCATACTCATTAGCAATCATTCCTTATTCTCCTCTTCTTCCAGTCCCTGGCAACCACTAATGTGCTTTTCTGTATCTGTGAATTTACTCTGGACATTTCCAATCAATGAATCATACAATATGGGGCCTTTTGTATCTTTTCTTTCATTTGACAGTGTTTTTCAAATTTCTTCCATGTTGTAGCTTGTATCAGTATTTCATTCCTTCTAATGTTCCGGTGTATGTGGACACCACACTTTGTTCATTCATGATCTGATGAACATTGGGTGACTGCTTCACTTTGGGGCCATTAGGAATTTTGCCACTGTAAAGAGCCTTGGGATTATAGAGCTACTGGTATGGGGTATACTCATGCCATTTCTCAGTGATTTAAGCCCTTAGTGAATATTTCATGAAGAGATTTCTAAAATTCTTTAAATTCTGGACATGCCTCTATTTTTTAATGTCAGCTTTTTCCAGAGCACATTCCAGTGTATACTAGTTTCACAAGTTCACTTGTGATTTCTCCAAAAACAGGAGCGCAACTTCAAAGTAAAAACAACAACAAAGACACCAAAGATGTAATCTTTGAATGAATTTGAGAACCACTTAATAATAGACCTCATTCTTAGAAAGAATTCTAAGTATTTATTACTATCTTAAAGGCCCTGAGAAGTCCTTTTGGAATCTCTCTTTTTCTATTTTTTTATTATTTTAGTTGTGGATGAACCGTTATTTTTATTTAGGGGAATCGAACCCAGGGCCTCACACCTGCTAAGTAAGCACTCTACCACTGTGCTACAACCCCAGCCCCTTTGGAATCTCTTTTAACATCCCACAATGAAAGCCCACCTTGAGAAATGCTAGAGCAGGCAAATGCCTTTCAGTGCTCATTTACATAACATTCAAAGTCCCCAGGAGCAGGGGTGTTTTGTGCAGTATGATCCCTTCTACCCAGAGGCAAGTACAATCCTGGGATTTACTACACAAGAATAAAAAAATAAAAAATAAATAAAGTCAGAACACATTTTCTTGAGATCATTTTTGTTCAGCATTAGACCTCACTCAGCTTCAGAGTTTTACTATTATGTGTTTCTAGTTTACAAAGAAGACAAATGAAACAAATAGCCCATTTCTTGGGCATCCTTGCTCTTATTTTACTCTTCTTTATTTCTACCTTTCTTAAAAGCTGGTATCCCACGTACAGCAGCACCTTCCACCAATTCCATAGTGACTGACACCTTGTGACCTTACTTTAATTTACTTTCAACAGTATTCAAAACTAATACATATTCTCCTGTGTATATTCCCCTTGGTCTTCCAAATGAGAATGATTACTGTACTTAATAAAGATAAGCGATTTTAATTATGTCTGGCTTCTATGAAAATGCATTAAACTCCTTTATTCAAGGTATCGATGGTGAAGTAAAAGAATTCACATTCTAAAAATGTAGAGTAGTAGCCAAGCAACCCTTCCTGAGGCAGGAGATGCAGTTAATATTTTAAAACTTGCAAACACGCCAAAAGAAAATGAGATGCCTGCAGGGTCACAAGAAGGATAATGAGGTTTGCTGGAAGACGTGAAAAAGAAGAAAGAATGTTTTTACCGAAAGCGCCCAAAGAAAATTATACATTTAAGTGTTTAACATACCTACTTAGCAAGGTCACCAGCACAGTATACGGGAGCTAAGCTTTTCCAGTAATTTTTGAATACCATGCAGGTTAAATATACTTCTCCTGAATTCAATGGCATTTCCTCTTAAGATATGAATGCAGATCAATGACTACCAGTGTGAGAAAATTAAAAGAAGTGTCATTCTAGTTTCAAACTGCGCTTCTAATAATAATTTTTAAAAATCAGCATAGAATATGCAGTACAGTAAGAAAAAAAAAACACTGCTACCTTGAATAGCTTTCCTTTTACTGTCAATCTAAAATGCATTACATCTCTTGCTTCTGACTAATCTCAATTTGCCTTACATAGAAGAGTGTAGTGTTGAACAGGTCACTGCATCCTTCACTTATAAACTGGAGAAGAACCTTTAACTTAGGTATTATTAATCATTTTGCATTCTCTCAATCCTGGATTCATTATGAAATAATGATTGAGGTGTACATTTGGGTGACTGTCCCCCCAAATCTCATGTGTTGAAGTCTTGGTCCCCAACTGTGGTGCTACTAGGAATTGGGGCTTAGTAGAAGAAAATTAGGTCATTGAGGACATGCCCTTGAAGGGAACATGGGAACCCTAAGCCATTCTCTTTCTCTCTGCTTCCCAGCAGCCATGAGGCATGCAGCTTCCTCTGCCACACACTCATGGTGATATGCCTTGCCTCAGGCTAGAAGGAATGTGGCCCACCAATCATGAACTGAAACCTCAAAACCCATAAGCCAAAATAAATCTTTCTCTCTTAAAAGTTTGTTTATCTCGGGTATTTTGTTACAGTAACAGAAAGCTGACTGATACAAGGTGCTTACTGAGTAAGTGCTGCACCCATTACAGATATATGGTTCAATGATGAGAAAACTGAGAAGGTCCCTATTCTCCAGTATATCATCATCCAGTGGGGCGGTGGTGGACAGAAATTTAATCAAAAAAACGGGAAGAATATGGTGTTAAGAGTATGTGACAAGGGAATTTAGCTTGATCTGAGGTGAGGAAATGTTGCCAATGGAAGTGACAGTTGAGCTGAACTCTGAAGGATGTGAATTTTAAGCAGAGGGGAGGAGGATGTGTTCTAAGCAGCAAATAACATTGGCAGTGAGGGATAGAAAGCTCACTGAGGCTGAAAGGGAACACAGGTGAGTTGCTTCAGGGTGAGTTGCTCCAAGACATACTGGTGAGACAGGAAGAGTAAGCAAGAGCTTCATCTTTTTCCTAAGAGCAGTGTGGAGAGAGAGGAGTGCTTATACAAAGGAGCTGCACTTTTGCTGGTGAGCCCTTGGAGGCCAGGGCCTCTATTCTGTTTTTACCGGTGTTATGGTTTAGAGATGAGGTGTTCCCAAAAAGCTCATGTGTTGTAAAATGCAAGAAGATTTAGAGGTGAAATGTGGGCTATGAGAGCCCTTATCCAATCAGTGCATTTATCCCTGGATGGGATTAACTGGTAACTGTTGGCAGGTGGGTGAGGCTGGAGGAGGTGGGTCCCTGGGGGCGTGTATTTGTGGTGCATATTTAGTCCCTGAAGGGTGAAGTTCTCTCTCTCTGATTCTTGGTGGCCCTGTCCTGACCTGCCTTGCTCCACCACATACTTCTGCCATGATGTTCCTCACCTCGAGCACCTAGGAATGGAGCCAGCTGTCTACGCACCGAGACCTCTGAAACTGTGAGCCCCCAGATAAACTTTTCCTCCTCTAAAATTGTTCTTGTCAGGTCTTTTGGTCACAGAAATGAAAAAAAAAATGACTAAAACAACCACAATGGCATGATACAGGTTAAGTGTTGGCCATAATGCCTTGACTATTATGTAGGCTTATCAGTAGGACAGAGGAAGGAGGAAGTTGTGGGTAACATTAAAAAGCAGACACAGATATCCATGGTAGAAAACCTCCTCTTTCTTAACTCTATACTTGGCCACTTTTAAATTTTTTATTGTAGTAAAATATACATAACATAAAATTTCAATCTTCTCTGAAGGAACAATTCAGAGGCATTAAGTACTCTCTGGATTTAGCTTGACAGGACTGCAGCCATCTTGAGTTGTGACGGCCATGATTGCTCCCGAGTAGCCCTAGTTGGTTTTTCCTGCATAGTTTCCCAGCACACTATAAATAGACAAAACCATTAGAGTGGTATGTGGAGCTTTACAACTGGACCCTGGCACCAGGAATGTGCCTGAGTCTTTGATACTAGCTTAAGATAAACCAGGCCCATTCCGGTTAGGATGAAGTCACTTCTGTCCTAACCAAGACATATGCCCCTCCTTCTGACCCAAATTGAAGGGACCCACTTGTAATTGCTGCTGCCCAGGACCATGCTCCTCTCAGAAAGTCCCCTAATAAATTACACTCTGCAATTCTAGTTTTTTCTGCCTCTTTCTTCAGTCTCCTGGCACCTTGGGCCAGTTCTTACACACTGGGACCAGGTTGCTCCAGAAGCACATTCACTTTGTTGTGCAAAATTGCCACATTCTGTCTCCAAAACTTTTCAATATCCCAGACTGAAATTCTGTACTCATTAAACAATAATTCCCTATGTCCCCTCCATCTATCTTCTAGCAATATCCACTCTACGTTCACATCTATGAGTTTGCCTATTTTAGGTACTACATATAAATGGAATCACTCAATATGTGTCCTTTTGTCTCTGAGTTGTTTCATTTAGCATGTTCTCAAAGTTCATCCATGCAGTAGTATGTATCAGGATTTTCTTCCTCTTTAAGGCTAAATAATATTCCATTTAAAATACATATTATATTTTGTTTATCCACTGGTCCATTCAAGGATGTTTTGACTACTGTGAAAATGCTGATTTATAAACATGGGCATTCAAATATCTGTTCGAGTCCCAACTTTTTAATCTCTTGGATGTATGCCTGGAAGCAGGATTGATGAATTGTATGATAAGTGTATGTTTAATTTTTTTGAGATTCTGCCAAACTGTCCTCCATGGTGGCTGTACTGTTCTATGGGCTACATTTGCCATAGCCCACCATAAACAGTGTCATCTTCTTGGGGACCAAAGCTGCCAGTGTATGGCACAGCTGCTGGAAGAAGCCATGACTAGGAGAG